GCGTGTCAATTTGTCAATACACGTGCAACTGAATGCTTGATGATTGATTCTTTAACGTCATGCTGCTGATACGATTGGAATAACAACCTCACAGTTGGTTGTTACAGTGGCGGATCCAGCGTATGTCAGAACTACTGCAGAGCAATTTTCAATTTAAAATAGTTTAGAGTTCCCTACCAGAAACATATCAGTAGGTAGAGCCTTTTTAACGTACGACCAAGGTAATTGTATAAATTTATTCAAAAGGCCTGTCACGATAAATTATACTATATTGAAGACGTATATTATACGTCCGTACATACTAATCATGCAAAGGACTTACGTCCTTGGTAGGGAGCAGGTTAATTAATATAACGATGTATGCAAATGATAACCTGTTTACCTGTTCTTTGTGTTGTATGAGTCTCGGGACTTGGTTGGGCGCGATCTATTGCCCTCTATATGAATAAAAAAAGAAGAAATAGCGAGAAAACTATCACGTTTTTAAATTGAAAAATTATTTGGCTACCCAGCACAGATAGATATTTCTTATACTTTTTTGACAGTATAGGCTAAATATCATTCCCGCTTTAAGTTTTTTACACCTGCTAAATGCGAGCTACATGTATAATGATATTCCATTAATTTACTGGTTACACGTACGAACGATAAACACCTGTAAATATATATAGCTATTAAAACCTTTGACTGACAACTACATTAGGATATATATCCCACTCCTCGATCGAATAAACTTTTTTCACTCATGTAGCTAGAACACCTCTATATAAATGGGTCACATTTCTTCGTATGCATGTATTGTACGTACATGAATAAAATGTAAATCTATAAAACGCAGATCTCTCTATAAAAATCTCCTGAAAAGCCGTCAACAGGCATACGCAATTATAAATCCATTTAATCTACGAATCATTATATTAAATTAACGAATATAATTGCGAATCTTGCAAACGAAACAATTTCATAAGAGGTCAATTAAGACGTGCGGCATGCAGTTTTTTTCTGAAATTCATAAGCATGCAACTCAGTTGTTGTTCGAGGCGTTTACAACTTTACATTATTATATGTTACAAAAATTTTGCACCATTTCTTTCTATACTACAAAACGTTGTCCTCGTACATGCAGTTAACACTTATACAGTTTACTTGGTCTTAGCAGGAAAAATAATGTGTTCCTAATTAAAATTGATTATGTAAAAATGGCTGTTATATTTAGCACGAGTTTTTTTAGTATAATAATATAGTTATCGCATTGGTCAGCATTTTCACAAGGCCTGAAATTTATCGCATCATATTTTATCAAAACGTTGATTCCGAAGGCATGGGCAATGAACATGCAATGGGCATTGCAACTGATGCTTTCTCTACTAGCGTCGATATATACATGAGAATATATTAGGCTATGATGAACGTTGCGTTTGATACAAGACTTTTATACATTATTTCCATGCACCAGTGGCAGTGAAAAAATGAGAAACTAATAAGTATATGAATATTCGCGAGCGATAGCAAAAGTAGAAAATTGCACTATTCTTGCATCCCTTTAGTTTTCTTACTTTTTCGACGATATAAATGTGATCAAACTCTGGTTCACGTGGACTCTCATCAACGTCAGATATCGCCGGAAGTGTTGAATTGTTGAGTTCACACAGACCTTTGCCAACTCCGGTTGTTTTAAAATTAACGGACTCGCATGAACCATCCGCAAGGCAATACATGACACATTCCGACTCGCTGCCTGACTGCTTTTTGTCGATGACATGATTCCCCAAGTACTTTTCTTTCATTTTACGAAAGGGTCCATGCCTAAAAGTGAGGCATTCGCCTGCCTGGGGTACTTTGAAGATCAAAAGTAATGCACAAAACACTACTAAAAGATCCATTGCGTATTATAAATGACGATGAATTTTTAAAACATACCCTTTCGTTTAAGCTCATTACCTGATAGCGAATGTCATATATTGTGTTTAAGCTTAAGAGCCATTAAAAAAAAATGTGCCACCAGAAAATGCGTGCGCTTGAAAACCTTATATGGTCTTGTCTAAAATTTTGTTTTGACAAAGCGATTTTGTAAAAAACGGGAGACAATTAGCATTATCATTATCATCCTATACACGTTAACCATGCTTGCTCATGTCAGCTACCTCAGTGGCAAGTGCTCAGTGGCAAGAGCATTGCGCCGACATCGATTCCTTACCAGAGGACCGATAGCTGACTCATTTTTTCCATCAACTGTTCCTTGCTTCAATTTGAAGTGTGCATGTATAATTTCACTCGTATTTAAGACTATTTGAACCTCTATAATCATGAAAAAAGCTAAAAAAAGATAACATGCAGATAACAGTATATAAAGAAAACATGGATGCAGTTCAAGGTGGCTAAGCGGTGTAAGAGAAATGATTAATTATCAGCAAGCATATAACTTAGAAGTGTCTTAAAATGCAACACGTGTTTTTTTCTTTCATTCCATATTAGCTTCCTCGTTAGTGCAATTTAATTGAATCGTTTGAGATTAGTATAGTCATTTTACAAAGTCATAAAAAAAGGGCGTTGAAAGTGCAATTTAAATTTTTGTTTTATAGAACAAATGTCACTATATACACTACCAAACGTCGAATCCAATCAAGGAATCAATATTGGCCTTTATTGTTCAGTTGTACTGTTTGCATGGTAGTTTAAAGCTTTAATTTCAAACATTTACTTAGGTTGCAACATAGGAAGCCCAGACAAATGAGTCGGCCATTTGACTATACAACTAGTGACGTAACTTACTATATTATTGGGAAGGATGGAAACTCTCGCCTCAATATTCAACATGTTGACAAACTAAAACACAAATTACTATATATAGTAAAACGGCACGTCGGCTGCTAAATGCCTACCGTAGGTTTAAGTTGAATAATCAAACTATACTTTCATAATAAAAATAGGGCTGAATCCAAAGGAAAGCGCTGGAAAAACGTACACAAACTTTGTAAATTGGCCGAAATTTTCGTGAATTCATGCGGGATGTAAGTACCTAGCCAAAATGGCGGCGGCAGAAGAATCTGATTGAATGAGAAAAGTAAACAAAGTATGATCAACCAATCAGATTTGTCGAGAAAGGTAAACAAAGAATGTTCGACCAATCAGATTCTTCTGCCCGCCGCCATTTGGGGTAGGTACTTACATCCCGTATGTATTCACGAAAATTTCGGCAAATCTACAAAGTTTGTGTACGTTTTTCCAGCGCTTTTCTTTGAATTCAGCATTATTTTTGTTATGAAAGTATAGTTTGATTATTCAACTTAAACCTACGGCAGGCATTTAGCAGCCGAAGTGCCGTTTTACTATAGTAATTTGTCAATATGTTGAAAATTGAGGCGAGAGTTTACATCCTTCCCAATAATATAGTAAGTTACGTCACTAGTTGTATAGTCAAGTGGCCGACAATATGGCCGACTCATTTGTCTGGGCTTCCTATGGTTGCAAGAGTCATTAAACTGCCGGCATGGTAGTTTGAAGCTTTAATTTCAAAAATTTACTTAGGTTGAAACAGTCATTAAACTGCCGGAAAAGGCAGCAAAAACTGAATTAACGCGGTCAATGTCTATATATGATTATATACTCGGTGATATAGACTGATTTGTTTGAATCTTTTCATAATAAAAGTTTTGGTAGGAATAGCTGAGAAAATTGTGTACTTGGTTTGAAATAGGCGAGTGGTTGCCGCATGCATGTATTTCTGGTATAAACTAAAAATAATAGCGGTCTATTATTGTTCTTGAAGACCAAAATAAAGTTAATGCGCGCGGCTCTCCGATTTATATAGCTACAAAAGTCAAAACACTTTTGTTGATGCGATTATTACTCGGACTACCGTAGGTAGACGAGTTGTAAAATGGAATCGGTTTTTTCTTCTGCGTCGCGAGTTTACAAAAATCACGCGTGGGCGGCACGAAGTCTTCGAACCAATCGAAATCGTCCTAGGATCGTCTCTCGTGCGGGTGTCACGAACATGCCATGTCACTACGAGATAACTGTAGCCCGAGTGATCGCCTGAGTAGGCGTCTTGTTCAATTAAGAATCAAACAACCTCTGTAAAACCATACGCATTTACCTTGAGTAGTAAAATGTCGCCAAGGTTTGTCGCCAAGCTGTTTTTCTCAGCGGCTACTAACAGGGCCAGTTCTGCGTTTAAATTGGTTACATTCAGTTTCAGGCCTCCTATATATAGGCTTGAGACCTTGCGAGTACCTCTTTTCAGGCTCGTTCCGTTAAGCGCAATAACCTTTCGCCAATACTGTGATCCCATTTAGACGGCAAAAAATTACCAAAAACGAAGGAAACACAATCATAAAACTTCTTACCGGCTAAAAACAACGTGTAATATACGTTTTGTGAGATCACGACTCTGACTATACACTTTATACAACAAATTATGAACGAGGTTCATGAACCCACATGCACCTACATTATAGTTTGTTAATAGTCAAGTAAATATTTTTTGAAATGAATTTATATAAAATTAATGTGCTCCTCGTGTAGCAGTAATATAGATTAAATCAGTTATTTCTATTTGCCTGCATGGCATCCCTGATTGCATGCATGCTGTCTCTATAAACATGCAGGAATAATTAGTTTCATTCAGGATTTAAACATCACTTCCACAGTAACGATAACTACAACTACCTGTAGGTACCAGTCGGTAAACATAAAATAACCCACAGTTTATAACTTTAATAGCTTTGCTGATGGCGCAACAATTCCCGGACCAACTGAAGCACACAGTGCGCGTGACTTCTCCTTGACCGACAGAAGGATGCGCTCCATTCAACCAAGAAACACCGTGAGTGGAACATTTCAGAATGCTTGTATCATGTCTCGGGATACATGACGCCGAGATTTGTTTTCCCGCATTACCAACAAATCTGTACCATCGCGTTGTTATACCATTATCACACAATTTTGAAGTGCCAACATAATTTACGTTTCGATTGTTGTTACTAAGCGATGTATAACTTCTGCATTCCTCTCGGTTTGTGACTAGAAAGATAAAGATTGAGATTGAGATAGATATGAATGCACAGACTTGAATTAATTCATCTTCTATACGATATATCCTTTACACAAAACTGCATAAAATTTTACTATAGTAGCAGACGAACAACTTGTTTATGACATTTGAGACATTTGCGCAAATTTAGCCCAAGAATCGGTTTAACGTATTATTTGGATATAATTAATCATGGCCTACATAGGGCGTTAAAAAAATAAACGTGTGCCATCCACCTTAATTAAATGCATGTGATCTAAAAACGGAAAATGATAAAGGAATCATATTTAGGAACCACGATTTTCATGGGTTATTGCACAGTTATTAGAATATAGTTACATGGTTTGGAGACCAGATGGAAGTACAATACAACTCATTATCTATGTTATTGTCCAGGTTTATGCAAAAAATGTTCCTTATCCGTCTCATGTCTATTGTATTTTTGCCCAACTGACCAATAGCAACGAATAAGGAACAATTTTTTGCATAAATGTTCCCCGACATAGTTAATGAGTTCTATTGTATTTTTATGTAGTCTCTAAACAATGTATATTCTATTAACTGTAGTTATTGCGAATAAATTATGATTCCCATGATCTGCCACGAGGCAACAAGAAACTACGTGATTGATTTTGACCAATCGCGCGAGTAGATTTAGGCCAATGCACGAAGATTGTATATTAATTTAGGTTATACAATTGGTACACAATGTTTCGGCCTTAAGTAAATTCACTCTTAACCAATTAGCTATTAATAGCTCTCGAAAGATAAAATTCACCTTACCTTTTTTAACCCTATAAGCTTTGACCTACATTTTTAGCCCTACTCTGCTATATAAATGTATGGTATTTTGAGTAATTTTGACACATTTTCGTGCATTATAAGGGAATAAAAATCGTTTATCTATAGAGTTTCCTGCGCGGATAAAGTGTTTTATGTCTACCTATGTAACTCGCGAAAAAGGTCGGCGAGTACTATTTTTTTTGTTATCAATGTTCTTCAAATAATTTTATGTGTCAATACCAAAGTTTATGTAAAAATGATTTTTACAACTCGTAATATTTAACTTTTTTGCCCAAAACTCTAAAAAAAATTGGGAAAAAGATCAGTTCGGCCCCAAAAACCACGTCAGTGCATTTCTTTGAAATATCCTTTCCCCTGTATATCACCAATTATTGATAAATCATTGATGATCACTGATAAATTCAATTACAGTTGTGCAATTGGAAATATTTCTTGTAAATCGAAATTTAATAAAAATGCCGCCATATTGGAAAAACGTGATGAATTGTGCTTGTCAAATCTTTTAAACGCGGAGTCGGTGACCCCAACTATCCTTTGTGTTTTAACTTTGTGCATGTCATAAACTAGAACCCTGGAAAGTTTCAGCGCATTCTCATTTATAGGGAACAATTACTGCGGAATTACCTTAAGCTTGCTGCTTCAAATAAGCTGGAATATGTTTTTTCCGGGGTTATGATTTCCGGACATGAGGCCAATAGCTCCCGCCGGGAAATTCGATAAAGGAAGATTTGCTGCTGTTTGCTAAGCTGTATGCAGCGGCAAGTTTTTATATTCAATGATCAATGTTTAATGATGAATATATGTAAGATCGATATTTACATAACTCGCGAACATCACGCGAGACCACATGCTAGGCTAAAAAGGGCGGGAGCGCCGTTGTTGTTTGCTTAAGATTAGAAAAGAAATGAACCGTGTTATTGACGAGAACTGGCATGTGCGTGCAGAAAATACAAAACCTGTTTTACCTGTTGGTTGTGTTGTGCGGGTCTCGACGGTTGGCTGAACGCGATCGGGTGCTCTCTATATACAAATGAATAAATGAAAAATATTTTTATTTTCAAATTGGAAATTTTTTTAAAAATTTTTCTTTTAGAAACTTTGTAAACTTTTATATAGCTTTATAAAACTTCAATGATAATAAGTTGTGAAAAATGAAAGAAAAAGATTGTCAAAGTTACACGGGTACATGCAGCCCAATACTTAGCGGTAAAAGGAACGATTTATCATATATAGACTATATATAAGATCTTTAAAGTGTTTTAAACAAGTGCGTGTCCATTTTGTATATTTTTTCTACGATATATTTTTACACGAGTTTGGTTTATAGTTCGGCGAAAACGTATTTGAGCAATAAAAAATATATCGTTTTAATTTCAAAAAAGGTAATGAAAGTGCAAATTTTTAAGGGTTATGCAAGTGTAAATAAACCATCACCCATATAGGAGTGTTTGGAAAATCAATATATTAGAGTAAGTACGTAGTACTATATATAGTAAACTGTGTCTAGTTTATATAGCATGGGCTGAACACAACAGACAACGTATGTACGTAGTTGTGCATTACATGCATGCAATAAATTTTTATAAATGATATTTAAGAAGTTTTAAAAAAGCTTCAAATCAGAACATTAATATATGTCTGAAAAAAATTCCCGTTTTCCCCTACCTTTTCGACCATGTAAAGGTGGTTGAACTCTGGATTCAGATTTTTGTCAACATCAGTTGTTTCTAAAATAGTCGAATTGTTGAGTTCACATAGACCTTTACCAATTCCAGATGCTTTAAAATTCACGGACGCGCATAATCTATTCGTAAGGCAATGCATAACACATTCAAACTCGCTTCCCGCCTGCTTTGTGTTGATGAGATGATTCCTTAAATACTTCTGTTTAATTTTGCGAAAGGCGTCCTGCCTAACCGTTTCGCATTCACCCGACTGGGGTATTTTGGAGATCAAAAGCAGCGAATAAAAGACCAGTAAGAGAGCCATTGCGTTATGAAGATTGTATCTCTTTACTCACGTTGGTCATATTCGGCAAATATTCTCCCGGTAAAGAGGGCTCAGTTTTCCAGCGGTCTTCGCATAAAAAATTAAAAGCTTTTCGTTTTACGCTCTGCTCTCAATTTTGTGTAAGTTGTCCGCTGACAACATGAGCCCGCACGAGTGGGAGAAACTTAGCTAAGTTGGACCAGCGTGACTTCGGCCTATTAATTTTTATGTGCAAATTGCAGCAGGTGCTGATTGTTGGTTTACACTATGCAATTTTCCTTGCAACTTGAATGCAATTATAATTTTGAGTGATGTTAATTGCTTAAAGTGTTCGAAATGCTATAAGAAAACGTTAGCAGATCGTAAGAAATGTATTTAGATGCCTCAGGGGTAGATTATTGCATTACAACCGCCTTTAAAAGAGCATTGCATGCAAAAAGTCATATATACAATGGTCAAAATTGGGCCGGCTAATATTAATATATTCTTGTTAGTAGACCGCAATAACAATCAATTTCGAAGGCCACAATAATTATATTGAATTCGAACGTGAATATATGAATATCATCGCCTATCTCCACACTTAAGCCTACATGGTTTCCATATGACGCCGACGTCGGTAAAGTATTATTGTCGGCGATTATTGATGAGTGAAATCTTTTTTCTTTCTGAAACATTTTCTCCTTGTAGGTTTACAGACAATGAGTCGGCGACCGGTCGGCATCATACGGAAACCAGGCTTTAACGATTTTCCACCGTCTATGAAATGAGAAGTACGAATGTTTAAAAAGTAGGAATATTCATGATGGCTGCCATCTTCAACTCTATACTACATTACAAACTGAACTCAGCATTTAAATCAGCTTTATAGCTATTACCGAGCGCGGTCTTTGCCTAGGTAGCTACATATCAGTTTTTTAAGGAGAGATTTCGGTAAGCGGGAGAACATTTTGTGTCATAAGAACACAATCAAGTTTATGTTATTATTTATTAACAAGGCGAGATCTCGCTTGCATATTTGCCGAAAATTTCCCTTGATAACCGGAAAAACCTTTGCCCATTTGAACAGGCCGTCAGGGTGAATCTTGACAGAGTAAATAAAAAAATTAGTTCACCTTGACTGTACTAATTTGAAAAGAAAATATGCAAAAATTACTATTACTCGCTAGCAAACCATTTCTCTGCAAGTGGAAATCCAGCCTTACACTTTCATCAACTTTAATACCTAAAATTTTTACGTTTCACTCTTTTCTATTTAACGTTTCCATATACTTAAGGAATAAGGTGAAAGGAAAAAGGGTTCCGTATACTTAAGAAATGTTTCTTTGGGTTGAAACAATGACAATCTCGTTCCCCGAGCCCGCGATTCCTCTGGCGAGAAAACAAAGGTTCTTGGATAATCGAAATCACCAATGATTCTGATTGGTCGTTCATCAGCCGTTTCAATTTTGAAATACAAAAAAACCGTTACAAACCGGAAGCCGGTTTGGATTATCCCAGAGCCTTCGTTTTCTCGCCAGAGGAATCGCGGGCTCAGGGGACGAGATTGAACCGATGACTGTATTCGCTCTAAACATTACTGAGACTTGGTCAAGGACGGTTGCGGGACTATTACACTATGGCTTTAACTTCAAAAAGGGTTTTTAAAGTGAATTGGAATTTTTATAGAACAAAATATCACTATACGTGCGATTGCTACAACGTAAATCTAAATCAAACGCGAAAATAGATCAAAATTTTCATACATTGATTATACGTATGTTATTTCAATAACAAACCTTCCACAGAGGTAAATCGTCTTATATTCGTCATATATTACACGGTTGACTCATACATGTTTCGATTTCTTACGAATATAACATAATTAATTTACACTTTAATTTAGGACTTTATACACTGGTGTTTGTACGAATTCCAATAATGTACCCTCCGACATTTGAGACCTCCGTCGTACCATTGTCCTGTTCTCAGATATTTGCAATAGCATGACATATAATTATTGCACGAGTGATTGTACGGACACCATATTTCCTGTGTCCACGGGCTGGCATACCATTTCTGTAAGAAAAGAAATAAGACATACACAGAATAAAAGGACATCCTTTTTCCGTCTCCCTCCTTTCGATATGATGTATTTCATGAAATTTTTCCAGGCTATATATAAATAAATACCAATCTGGAAGAATTTAGTGTTCATCACTTTTATCGGTTTGCATGTTGCACATACGCAAAAAATGCAAAACACGAAAAGTGAGTGGAGAAGGCTATCAAAATGAGCTAGTTAGTGTTAATCGAACATTGAGTTGGAGCCATGCGAAGCTTGTTTAATGATAGTCAATCTTAACGCACCTTAGTGACCACACGTCCTTCTGTTACGCTGGAGAGAAGAACAAGTAATAAAAAAAGAAATTTCAAAATTAGGCGTAATTTTTCCATGGTTAAGATGCTTGCTGCAGCTGCACAGATCGCACTTGTAGCACCACCATGCAGTCGTTTAATATGGTTGTCTCCTTCTAAGTTGTATTTATTTCCAGCACGATATTTAAATTACTTGTATGCTGTTTGCAGTAACGATTAGCTTTCATTTGCATAAAAATCGTTGAAAGAAATTAATAATGATATTGAACTTCAGTTGGCAAATATTAACCAATATTATTTATAGTTATTGTATAGTGAAAAGTCATTCTTATAATTATATCGGCGCGCACAGTCCCCACCAAATAATCCATTTCCGTGTATACCAATTTGTAATTTGAATGCCTTGCAAAGAGAATTGATGCAAATTAGCATTCGATGGCCTTCAGTAATAAAAAAAGATAATTAAAAAAATACTAATAAATTTGGGTGTATGTGGGTTCTATATGACTATTATTAGAAAACGGAAATAAATCTGTCATTTTCTATGGTCGCATGCTAGTTCTAAAACCAAGGTAACAGGCACATGGGTGATTTGCAAATTTTCTTCGCGTACAAACAACATTATGCCGACGTCTTAAGTGAAATTTAGCATTACCAACAAGCTGTGTGAATAATGCAGGTGTCTCTGATTATTAAAAAACTAATCTGCATTTAATTCATTTTATTCTTTACATTGCGTTTTTCCGACACGCGTGCACATCCGTCCGGGTCTGATTAAACAATTACTCATTCAACAAACCTTTCCTCCGTGTAAAACTTGAGCTATCACTGATAAGTTTCCCGATTTTAGAACTGAATGCGAACTGAGTTTTCATATAAATCATTGAAACTGCTTGAAAGTTTCTGTTTGTTCAAAATTGGCAACTCAAAAACCAAAATATAAAGGATCCTTATTAGCTGTCTGTAAATATTCAGTGTCGAATCATGAATTTGAAGCGACAAAAATATGGATACAATTAGATTAATATAAATATAATTATACAAGAGACTTTAAATTCATTCCGGCGGTTATGAAAATTGAGGATTTCATTTCATATATATCCTGGCTATTAATTTTAATTTTGTATTTAAATTTTATCCTAATTTTTACTGAACGTGTCTTTTACATTGTACGTGTATCCTCTGATATAAATTGTTGAAATTTGCTTAGAACTTAAACTGTGTGTAAACGTAAAACATTTGGCTAAGCTGACAAGTACTGTTGATGAAAAAAGGCAAAATATAAAATATTTACCCTTATCGTGCATAATATAAATGCCCATGAATGTCCTTAGCGTGGTATTTTTATCAAATAACTAATGCATGCATATACGCATTTCAGTGTTGGTCAACTGGAAATCGAGACAATATTGGCATTGAGTTTGTTGCGTTTTTGTTGTATAAGTATCAATTAATATCACTTGTAATTGTCACCATTGTACAAGATATTCATGAAAATAAAACACCACAATAACGCTCTATATATAAAAGCAGTCTTCGTTTAGGAGCATGCATCCATAGTAATCTTCCTGCATAAAGGAACTATGGAATTGCAAATTTTACAATGTAGTGCATTATGCTACAGTTATGTATCTATGGTATTTAGCTAACCTGTCTGTCTAGTCTTATGTTGTACGGATGAATAAATCAAGTATTGCCACGGAGGGGCTTTAAGAAAGTAAGAAATGCACGGGGGGTGCATATGCAGAATTGTCCGAATTTTTTTATGGTTATGCGGATTATAATCATACATTAAATTACGGTATATATATGCATGCATGCGTATGTTTAATTATTATTATTATACATTATAGTAGTAAAAGCAATTTGATTGGCTAATAGTTGACAGATAAATCGCGCAATCACGCAAAATTCAGTTATCTGCCAGCAGATAACTGAGTTATCTGCAAGTGAGCCTGCGGTGGTTACAAGCGGTATTCATTTGAATGTATTTATGTATTAATAATTGATGTATTTTTGGATGTTGCTATTAAATAAGGTTTTTCATTCGTTAATACTATGTTTACTATTCTTCAAATGTATAATAAAACGCTTACCTCGACCTTGATAACTCTGCATATCACAAAAACCTCATCCAATAATTGTTTAATACTAAATGTTACATGGCGGACGGCCGAAAATCTTAGGGTGTCCCAAAAAAACCCAAAGCTATTGAAATCACCTATTGTTAAAATTTAAACTTGTTCGCAAATTTGACTTGTTCGCAAATATTTGCTCATGGGGAATAACGCAACTTCTAAAATGCTAAAATAATAGGTTCACAAAAATTAAAAAAAATTCTGGTGAAGAAAGTACATATCGAAGAACATCTCCAACTCTAGCTATTACATTGTTTTGGGTGATTTCAATGGGGTCTTTTTGGGACACCCTGTAGTATCACATATTTGAGTTATCTATATCACCGGCAATAACTAAGGCTATAAGTGAAATTGTATTAAGTTGCTACAGTTGATATACATAGATGCCTTTACGGTGAATCAAAGAAAATTTGTGGATTTTACTAGACACATTTATTTTGTTTCTTCGTTTTATTAGCAACAGGTGAATTTATTTTTAACATAAGCGATT